TCTCTAATGTTATTACAATATGTGTGTTTTAGATTACAATATGTGTGTTTTGGTATTACAATATGTGTGTTTTGGTATTACAATATGTGTGTTTTGGTATTACAATATGTGTGTTTTGGTATTACAATATCTGTGTTTTGGTATTACAATATGTGTGTTTTGGTATTACAATATGTGTTTTGGTATTACAATATGTGTGTTTTGGTATTACAATATGTGTGTATTGGTATTACAATATCTGTGTATTGGTATTACAATATCTGTGTATTGGTATTACAATATGTGTATTTTGGTATTACAATATGTGTATTTTGGTATTACAATATCTGTATTTTGGTATTACAATATCTGTATTTTGGTATTACAATATGTGTGTTTTGGTATTACAATATGTGTGTTTTGGTATTACAATATGTGTATTTGGTATTACAATATGTGTGTTTGGTATTACAATATGTGTATTTGGTATTACAATATCTGTGTTTGGTATTACAATATGTGTGTTTGGTATTACAATATGTGTGTTTGGTATTAAAATATATGTGTTTTGGTATTAAAATATATGTGTTTTGGTATTAAAATATATGTGTTTTGGTATTACAATATCTGTGTATTGGTATTACAATATCTGTTTTCAGATTCAAAATAATTTGTATACCAAAGTCTGTAAAATTTTAGTAGTCCAAATGATCATAGATGGATTTTTTATTTGGTATTAAGCTTCTAAGGATTTTCTGTTGTACATTTTTATAAAGTTTTATAAATTTAACAGGCTATTAAGAGCTTTGATGACAGTATTTCAGCTCAGGCTGAATGGAAACAATTTCATTATATGTGTTTGTGGGAACAGCAGTGGTGTTATTGGTGAGTGAAAATGTTTTCTATTTTTATCATTTAATTGGTTTGTAAGATGTTTTTAATATAAGATAACTTTGGTGATGGGTAAGAGAAAAAATATTACTCTACTTTTAAAAGAAATAACTATTTTCTGTGTCAAACCTCTTTATTGTGTGACTATTTCTATTGTTCTTGACTCTGAAGAAAAAATGATGGAGAGCAACAGTGGTAGTATTAATTTTTATATTTTTGACGAAATTAATCAATGAAAGTATATGAATTTGTTTTTTTGGATATATTATGAAAATATAATACTGTTTTAATTGAGTAATTATTGTTATACAGAATGTTACTTATGTCCTTTTATAACATTGGTAAGTGTAATTAATGACTGCATATTTCTTTGTTAGTTTCACTAGTTTTTAATGCCAGTTTTTATCACAACCTAGCTATAAATGTGACTGGGCTAATGCTGCTAAATGTGCAGACATCTTGAGGAAGGAATGCCGTTGGTCTCCTGCTACCAGCTGTTATCTGTATGCTTCATTTCTCTACATGCAGGTACTAGAGGGACGAAAAGACATGATGGATGAAATAATTTCTTTGTACAGGTACGATTGTGCATATGGCATTTGATTCATTATAATGTAAATTAATGTGTATATTGTTTCTAGTGTGTAACTGGAATTTGATTCTTTATGTAGGCAGTGTTTGATTTAGTGTTTTAGTAGAACTACATATATTGTATTTGTTGTAAAAACATGGTAGCATTATATTTAGATTATTGGCAGTTTAATTTTCTATCCAAAGTTTAGTAATGTTTAATGTCAAGGTAATGTTTTTTATAGTGTTTAGAAGGCATTAGGCTTACCTCATTGGTAGTATTTGAGTTAAATGTAATGTTTAGGTAAGCCTTAGTGTCGTGATAGCGTTTGGTGAAATATCTTGTTAACATTACATTTAGTGATTAAGTAGGGTTAATTTTTGTGTCTGGTTAGTATTATGCTTGATGTTCATATACAGACAGATTTGTGTGTAATGTTAGAATTTTTTAGTGATTGAATATGGTTATATTTCAGGTAGACAAGTAAATAGTGTAAGACTGATTGTCAAATATGTTTAGGTCTTGCTGATGGTGATATGATTTAGAGATTATAAATCAAGATGTGTTTTGTAAAATTATGGTCATCAGGTCAGAAGTAAGTGGCACTCTTGGTAAGTGAGATGATTTATTTAAGCAAGCTTTGTTTCTTTTCTACTATTGTTAATCTTTGACATTTAGCTATGTTGTAATTTAGGCATAACAGTTTTTTTCATCCATTAATTTGTGGTGTGTAAGATGAGTTTCTTCTATTTCAACTACTGAGCACATGGGTGAACCAGTAATTGTTTTTTACCTAGACAAGTCCCAAACTTAAGGCAACGACTTGCTGGAAAATCCATTCCCATTGAAAAGTTCTGTGTGAAGAATGCAGAGAAGTTCCTTGGAAATGGAAATAAACTTGTACTTCCTATTTTGGTAAGGTTCCAAAAGGAATAAGAAATTTATATTTAGTTTTTACAAAACGTGGCAAGAATTTACTTAAACCTTCTTCACATAATTATCGTACTTCTGGTAAAATAATGTAGTGCCAACCTAAGTAAACTATTTCAGAAGTAAATCTATAGTTAAAAATCTATTAGCTTGGTTGAAGCTTTGAAATTATCACTGGTTGGTTAATATGTACCCATAGAAATAATTTACCTGTATGAAAAACACAACTTCTAAATTCTTCAAGCTGTACTTATGAATGTTTTAGTTATATGTTTTGGTCATGTAAACTGTAAGTTTCTATTTCGTTAATGAAAATAAAATCAGTTAACTTCTACATGTATGCATATATGTATATTTTTCTTTTTAGGAGTTTGTCTATATGTGGCATGGATTCCCTGTCATCTCTAAAGTCCCACCTTTACTTGAAGTTTATCATAAAATGATTGAAAAAAGCCTAACAGATCTTCATGAAACTAGTGGTATGTTACATACTAACATTATTGTTGCCATTCCTTTAAGTATGATTATGGTATTAAGGTCTCTTTTAAACCTTGTTCAGTTGTTTAAGTAACCTGTTTTTCCGATACTGTATCTCACCTCTCCTCACATAACAGTTTTTCTCGACTTGTACTGCCCTTTATGTGCACAAATTTTCACTCACCGCTAGACTTGATACTCCCACCTACCCTGATGTGTTTTAAGTGAGGCAGCTGCGTAATCACATGAAAATGAGCATGTGACAACCCTCCACCAATAGGAGTGCAACACAATTCCTAGCATAGCTGACTCCCTCTATGCAGCTTAGTTCATCTTCACTTGTTGATTGGCACTTGTCATGTTTAGATGTGTTTTTCATTTGAGCTTTGCTCATGGAATTTTGATCAGTTACATGTGTTTTGGAGAACTTAGTTTTTTTTTCTTTTAGTTTGTTACGCTTCAGCTCTTTAACTTTTCCTTTGTACACGTTAATGTTACATGTCTTTAATCTTTTTTTTAGCTCCCTGTATGGATTTTTATTATTCAAAAAACACTCACAGTTATCATGAGTTCTGAGTCTAATGTTACTACTACAACAGTTACCCTTTGTCTACAATGGCTTTGGGTCTGTAGTTATCGGTGGAAGACATAATGGTCTTGGTTCGCTAGGAGTTAGCTACTTTCATGCAGGCTTCAGATTCTCCTCAAAATTATTTTGTAATGTTTTGTTCTGAACAAGAGGATAATGATTTTGACAGCCCCATCCTATGCCACACAGTTATATAGGTCCAGTGGATACACCCAGGCTTTCTTCTCCTTACCTGGAATTGGTCAGTCAGGTTTGTTATGTTTTGTCTTTGTCTCCTGTTTCTTTTGCTTCCTCTCTTTCCCTTTTAAGTGAGAAACCTTCTGTCCAATATCTTGTTCTCCTCCCTTCACCAGATATTGGGGTTTATGCTAATAGGCTTGCAGACCAATTACATTCTGGAACCAGTATGTCTTGACCCTCATGTAATATGGAGGCCTATGCTTTGACTTACCATCCATCTGAGTTTCCCTTTTGGATTCACAAGAGTTGGATCTTTTACTGCCCCTGTGGGGTTTGGATCCCAATACTTTGGTCATGGTTTTCCAACCTCAGCTCTCCTTTATCCGCCTTACTCTATCCTCTCGCCTTTGTTCCCTTTCCTCCATTCATCTTTTGTCTAAGGCCCTTCCTCGTTCCCCTGAGGAGTTTTCGGTGGAGACTCATACCCTGATGTTTTCCATTCTGACACAAATGTCCTCTTCTGCCCTTTCCTTCCATACATAGCTCCTCTGTTGTTGGGATATTTTAGGTTAGGATGCCCTTTTGTCCTGTGTCTGTTTACCTCCAACCTCCTTATGGGACTTATGTATGGCTCCCTTTTTTAAGGAAAGATGTCTTTGAAGGTCTTCCTAACTCATTAGAATCCAGAGTTGAGTTGGCCCGTTTGCACACCTTCCTTTCCTCACTGGCTTCCTGTTTTTTTCAACCTGTTCCAGTGTCTTGTCCTCTTCCTTCCTATCTTTTTAATAGTTCCTGCTTCATGGGTCTCCAAGTTCAACCATCAGTTTTCATCAACAACTTCAGCACACCTAGCACTCCCGATGACTATGTGGTAGGCATAGATCTGATGTGGGCAAAGCTTTTGCATTTTGCCACCATGTGGGAGTTATTCACCACAGACCTTGGGTTGTGCAGGTTCTCTCTGGAGAGTTCATTCTTCATTTTTCTTCCCTTCCTCCCCTCTCCCTTCATCATGATTCCTATTTCCAGCCAGCTTCTGTCTGAGGCAGCTCACTACTATCTTCATAAGGGCTCTGTGAAATGGGTGTATCCTTCTTAGCCAGGTTTCTATTTCCATTTGTCCATTGTTCCAAAGAAGATTGGGGATTGGCACCCCATCATTGATCTTTCTTCCTTCAACTGCTTCCTTGACATTCTTTGGTTCAGCATGGAGTCATACCTATCTTTTCAATGGGTTTTCACTCCTGGTTTGTGGATGACAAAGGTAGATGTCTCAGATGTTTACCTCCACATTTCCAACTCCCTAGCATCCCAGCATTTTCTTCGTTTTGTCCATCAGGGTTGCATCTAACAATTCTGAACTCTTCCATTTGGGTCAGCTTTGGTTCTCTGCATTTTTTGTTGGATGGTCAAGGTCTTTGCCCATCTTCTCCATTCTAGAGGCCTTCGTTTTTACCATTACATGGATTATTGGCTGCTTTTAGCTTCTCCGTATGCCACCTCTTTCCTTCACACTCAATTTCTTCTTCAAGAAGCTGCATGGGTAGGTTGACTAGTAAAGGTGAAATCCTTCCTCTTCCCCACTCAATACCTTGTGCATCTCAGGGTCTTTTTTCAATTTCTGTCTCAGCTGAGTCCAACCTTCTCAATTTTGCCTGTGATCTATGGAGTTTCTGGTTTAGACCATTTCCTCCTCTCCTTCTCCAACTGTGCCAAAAGTTCTATCTATTTTGGGGATGTGGGCTTCTCATTCCCCTCAATCAATCCTACATGTGACTTATTCAGTAGGCTTTACAACATCATTGGAACCTTGTTCAAGATCCCTTCAACACTCCTATCCATCTTTTTCCTTCCCTGCTTGTGGACTTCACCTAGTGTTTGAACTGAGACAACACCACAGTGGATGTTCCTTTTCCTCTTTCCCATTCTGGAGGTGTACCTCTTCATGGATGCTTCTCTTTCTGGTTTTGGCATATCAATCCCTTAGAACTCTTCACTGTTCATCAGGCTTTGGTTCATTTTCTACAGTCTCTCTGGAACCAGTCGGTTATAATCCATTCTGACAACTCCATGGTTGTCTTGTACGTCACTCAAAAAAGGAGTGGTCAGTTGAGATTTCTCTGTTTCCACATGTTGGACCTCCTATTTTGGGCCCACAGCCATCACATTTGTTTGGTGGCATTTCATATACCATGTACATTGAATCTGGTCATGGATCGTCTGTTGCACCCCAGGGTTTGGTCTCCTATTCCTTATTCTTTGACTTTAGCTGTCGTTGCCCTCAGTCAGGATTGGAGGGACTGCTACCTTTATACATATCCTCCCATCTGTATTCTTCCTTGTCCCCTCACCATCATACAAGCCACTCCTTGTTTAGTCCTGTTGGTAGCTCCACTTTGTTCTATGCAGCTATGGTTTCCACTTCTGTGCTTGCTCCTACTAACCCCTCTCACCCATCCCCATCCTCCTCAGACAATCTCATTTGGGTGTGCTACATTCTTCTCTTTCCATGCTTTGTCTTCATGCATGGCTTTTGTCTCATCCCTCACCAGATGGGCTAAACTATCTCTGCAGGTTGCTTCCCTAATTCCCCTTTTAACATACCCCTCCACCATGTCAGTTTACCAATGTAAGTGGTATTTTTATCATCATTGGTCTTCTTGTCATGGTTTTCCTTTGTCCTGTCCTAGATTCCCACACCTGACATCCTTCCTTACCTGGCTTTTCAACAAGAGGCTGTCAGTATCCACTATTGCTGGTTATTGTGCAGCATTGTCAGCCACCTTCCATTTTACAATATTTTGCTGTCTTCACTTTTATATTTTAATTAAAATAAACTTTTTTTTTAAATAATGAATAATTCTAAAAGATAACATTTATTATAACAATGAGTTATTTAACAAGAGGTTAACTTTCCTATAACTAAAGTATAAAGCTTTCCTGTTGATTGACTAAAAATCTCAGTTTTTTCCAACCTTACTAATTTAAGTGTTAAAGGTTTAGTTGTATGTTTATAATTGTAACAATGAGTATTTTTGTAGGTGAAGTACAGGAAGTAGATGATTACTTGATGCTAACTCTTTTACAAGGAATGTGTTTAAAGTACCTAGACCGTATTGATCAAGCCGAACAGTGTTTTCGAGAAATCATTAACAGGTAGAAGCCAATTTTCGTTAATATTTTCATGGTAGTTAACATAGAAAGTGGGAATTTCAAGAGTGTATCTTCCGATGAATGTAGCTGGAAGACAATAGTACATTAGCCAAGTGAAACAAACTGGTAGTTAGTACATAGTTAATTTAAATCTAGATATTTTAATAGAAACATGTAATAGTTCTTTTTTTCCAAAAAAATATAAAGTCACTGACTACACTTACAGTACTTGGCACTTTCTGTTTCACTTAGATGTTTTGTGCAACCACAGAACATTACATAGGAAATCACAAGTTTTGAAATACTTTGCATGTAGTATTCTAATAAATAAAGATGCATACCTTTTGAGGAATCGATCATCAGAGTGTTACAAAGTGCATTTACATCAGTTGACTAGTGAATGTTGCCAAATATTTTTGAATTTCTGTTTTATTTTTTCACTTAAAATTGCCACTGATGCAAGTTAAACTTAGAAATAAACGTTTCTTGATATCGGGTCTCGAAATCGGTAGTGGCTAGCTGGAAATAAACCAGTAGTTTAACCGGTAACCATTAACCAAATGTGCACAGCCAACCTTGTAATATAGTGGAGTTTTAACTACAATTTCAAATTTTCCACAAGTATCTACACAAAATATGACAAAACGTGAGTCAAATATACAATTCTACTGTACACAGTATGTTATAAAAGGATCTGTACTCATGAAATGCCTATAAATTGATGGAAAATTCGAATTTTCAGAATCTATCAGTGTATTGTGTATGTAGTTATTAAACATATACAGGAGTGAACTGTGGGTTTAAAGAAGTACATATAGCTGTAGAAGTATTGAACCCAATTGGCTTTAAATTATTTATGCACAAAATTGCTTGTGGGACCAGGACTTAATTGGTTATAAGGTTCCTAATAATATGTACAGAGTAAGTTACAAATAATATTTAAAAATAAATACCATTAATATTGCTATTAATTCCACTGATTACTACTGAAGTAACTATGTATTTTAAATAGAAAGTGGGTGGTTTCACCATCTCTTTTTTTTTTACAAAAATATAACATAAATATAACGCAATATTTGGACTTCATTAGTAGTGAACTGTATAAAATAAAAGTCAGTAATTTGAGGATTAAATATAAATTTGTTCTATTTAAAATGAATAAACTGATATTATTTTGTAGAGAGGGGGAGATTAAAGATAAATTCCATCTTCCACCATATGCTGCAGCTGAGTTAGCCTTCATGATGATGGAGAAAGGGAAAAAAGATGATGCTTTGGAGTGGTTAAAAGCTGCTAAGTAAGTTTTGGTGCTAATAACTATAGTATAAATGAATGAGGTAAGAATAGTATTTCTGATTTATTTTAAGAATTTTGAATTCATATTTATAATACTGGTATATAAACACATATACAGGTAGGTAATTAGTTAGTTAATTAGGTTAAGTATTACAGTGAGTCTTGTGAGAAAATACGAATGACACCAATATATTTCACTAAGCATTTTGTAAGTTGCTATATATTACTTGTGATAATAACTTTCTTTAACGAAGCTAACAAAAATACTTTGATAAATTCAATACATATGTTTGAATTTTACAATGAAAATTAGGATTTACTAATAAAAGTACCTAACTTTTTTATATACAAAGGGTGATTGTGAAATTATGTGTACACATTAATTGTGTTTTTCTTCAATAGATTCAATTATCATGGTTACCTGACGGAAGTAGTTCTACATTTTAGACTTTATGCAGCCTACAAGAAATTGAATGGAAGCCAACAAGGAGAACCTGAATCACCTACTATTTGTAAACCATTGCCGGGTGAGGCACCCTACTGCATGTGACCCAAACAAAATTATAAATATTAATTTTGCTGGAGGAGAGAATCCTATCAAGAAGAATGTGGAAAATAGTATCTCAAAATAGCCAACTTTTTTACCCTTTTTTATTGCCTTTGCTTTAAAGTTCTTCCTGAAAAAGGTATCGAACGTAGCCTTTAATTTGCGACTAATGAAAACGTGTATATTTAAGAATGAACTTATATAAACATAACATTGGTGATTTTTTTATCTTTAATATTGTTACATATACCATTAATTAGTAGAGTTTTAGATTTCATTTTGATATCCATTGTTTGTGGTGGTTAACTATAATCTCAAATATAAAAGCCACTTAATAGTGTAAAACTTGTTATAAATATTTTCATGCATATTCAGACTCCAGTTGATACGTAAGACTCCATAACTAGTACTCTATGACATATTTAAAATTGTCAAGCCATTTCTATATAATTTGTAAGGACAGGAAAAAGTTATAAACAAATAAATTACAAATAGGTACTATCTATTTAACCTATTCAGTTCCGTTGTATCTAATTTAGAGCTTATTTAATTAGATAAAATATTATCACTATTTTGGGTAAAATACTAGTAATTTATAGAATGTATTTGTAGAAGACAACTAAGAAAATGTAAAGAAAATTTGTTTTTAACAATTTTTTTGGGGAATACTTCTAATTTTAATTTTTTTTAAACATCAACACCAATTATTAAGCAGTAATTGAGAAATTTTTGTTGCACATTAGACTTAAAATAACTTATGAATTTAATGAATAAACTTGAATTCCGATATGGTACATGATCTCCACTCTCATAAATAGCTATTCTCGTTCAGTGCTGTCCTCTATATGCAAAATATTTTTTGCATGCCACAAACGTTGAGCTCTCACGTTCAACATGCATCTCCCACATAAATCATCATGCAACAACCCTCCACCAATAGGAGTGTGACACCCTCCTGACGCACGTGACTCCCTTTATTCGATTCTACTGAACTATCGATTCTCATTAGGCAGTGCTCGTGTCAAGATGCTTTTTTATTGTGCCCTTCAATCATGTTTTTTTCTTTAAACTTAGTGATTTTTTTTTTGCCATTCACTCCAAAGTGGAATTGTTCTTTTCAATTTTAAAATAGTTTGAGATAACATAAAGATAACTTATTTTTCCCAGTTTCATTTCTTTATTATAACACTGTTGTCTTTGATCATTCATTCTCAACAATAAATTCCAAGTTACCACTATGGAGTTAATACCTCCTACCAGCACATTTACATAAGCTGTAGGTGGGACTTGACTATGGAATTATCAACTCTCATCCACAGTGAGATCGATCATTATATGAGTCAACCTGCTTCTCCTGTTATTGTCCATGTTCCTCCAGAACATGTTGAACCTAATCGGGCTGATGAGGAACTTGACAGCCTTTTCCTCCATTTGATTTTGCCATGTCTTCCTATGCCTCTACTGTGGTATCAGCTAGGCCTAATATGGCCTTTTTAAACATGATTTCTCAGGTGTGTTCTGTTTTATCCATTTCTTCGATTTCTTATAATCCCTTTCCTTCTTTGTTACATGATACTCCCTCCTCTCAGTATTCTGTGTCCCCCACCCCTGGATATTAGGGTTCATGCAGAGCTTTTTGTCTCTCAGTTGGTTGGGGATGCTAGCATGCCTTGCCCTCCATGGAATTCAGATCACTTTGCTTTAGCATGCCTGATTTAGGGTTCATGCAGAGCTTTTTGTCTCTCGGTTGGTTGGGGATGCTAGCATGCCTTGCCCTCCATGGAATTCAGATCACTTTGCTTTAGCATACCATCAGGCTGAATTTCCATGTCTTGATTCTCAACAGTTGGAATCACTTTTGCCCATGTGGGGGCTAGGCCCTGATCATCCAGTTCGTTTATCCCATGCCCAGTTTTCCGACTTTCATCTTACACATTAACTCTCCTACGGTACTTATCTATCATTCACCTCCTTTCAGAAGTGCTCCACCAAGATCCTGAGGGTTTTTCGAGGGATAGTCTCTCCATGATTACCTCCACATTGGCACGTTTGTCTTATTCGGCTCTTTTCTTACACATATGGTTTCACTGCTGTTGGGATCTTCTGTGGAGGGATGCTCTGTTATCCCAAGCTTGTTTATTACCCACTTATCTTTGGGACTTATGTATGTCCCTCTTTCTCTGGCAGACTATTTTTGGAAATATTCCAGATTTTGGAATCTTGTGTGGAATTGGTGAGATGGTAATCAACCCTTTCATCTTAGGTTGATCGTTTGTCTCATTCCGAGGCTAGACGAGCACCGGAGACAATGGAGGAGGGTGAAGAAGTGGATGACAAGTCCCTCAGATAATACCCAAATAACCCACTAATCTTTGATGAAAACATGCTGGTGATGTGTCCATTAGCATTCAATAATACAACAAGAGGAAGAACTCCTGGAGGTAGGAACTGGTAAGGGCTGGTAAACAGTGGTAGAGGCCCATATCCATTCCGTTTCCTCGGGATCCTACTACCAGTCAATGTCTGTCAGAGGTGGCACAACATTTTCTCTCCCAGAAACCCATGAAACCTGTAACTCATCCTTCTCCAGGTTTTTATTCCAGGCTGTTTGTGGTACTCAAGAAAACTGGGGACTGGTGGCTTTTGGTTGATGGATTTTTTCTTCAGGTTTCTCCAGTTAGGTGTCATGAATGCTTATCTGCATATTCCAATATCTCGTCTGTTAAGGTGCTATCTTTGGTTTGTTCATCATGGGGTAGTTTATCAATTCCGCACCCTGCTCTTTGTGCTTGCTTCAGCCCTGTATGTCTTTTGTTGAGTAGTCAAGGCTTTTGCTCAACATATGTTTGCTTAGGGGTTGAGCTTACACCATTACATGGATGACTGGTTTCTGTTAGCTTGTTTTGAACAGGAGTCCACACATCACACTCATCTGCTGATCATAGAGGCAGCTCATGTAAGTTGATTAATCTACCCAATATCTTGTTCCCTTGGGTGTTTATTTTCAACACTCATCTTGGTCAGGCCCAACCTTCTTCTCTTCGACACCATTTGATGGAGCTTTCAGTTCTCCATGCCCTTACTGTTCTCTCTATTACTGCTTACAATGTTCTATTGCTTTTGGTGGAGGGTTGTTGCATGATGTACATGTTGAACGTAAGGTACATGGGAGCTTAAGACTTGTGGCATGCCAAAAAGTTTTGCATATAAAGGGCAGCACTGAACTAGAATAGCTATTTATGTGAGGGGAGGTAAGTACTTATCAGAAATACATTTTCAGTATAGGAAAATTATAACCTTGAAAGTATCATTGAAAAATATATTTATGCTAAGGGAAAAGAAATGTTTTATTCTAATCTCAGTCAGTCTACTGTACATTGCACATTGTCAGTCTACTGTACATTGTCAGTCTACTGTACATTGTACATTGTCAGTCTACTGTACATTGCACATTGTCAGTCTACTGTACATTGTACATTGTCAGTCTACTGTACATTGCATAGCATGGGAACTTTTATCGGGTGAATGTAAGTTCTCCAAAATTCCTGCGTACCACTGTTTGAAACAGTGTAAAGTTTTGTGTAAAAGAGTAAAATGCTTGCATAAAACTACTGGTGAGTAAGTTGTCTCAGTAGTGCTACATATACCAGTATAAAATACCTGTAACATTGTAAAATATAAAAATAGCTTTAAATTTAGCAATACTATAGCACTGTGTATATGTGTAAAATACTTCGCTGGCAATAACTATAACAATTAAGCATGTACAATAGTACTACTTGGAACACCGTAAAGTGTTTGGATAGCCCCACTTGTGACAGTATAGAGTGTCTGAATATCTTTACTCCTTTCCAGTAAATGGTTTGTTTAATAATGTGAAACTTGTTTTTGAAAAGGCCAACATTTTTAGTATATCAAGCTTTCATTCATAAATAGACTTCATTGTCATGATTAGTAGTGTAGAAGATCACATACGTCTAATTATTAGTTAGTAATATTTTAAAGTAGATACAAATGTAGGATAAAGACTTGTTAGTAATTAGTATCTAATTAATAAATAACACAACATCAATTGCCACAATCTTAGAGTAAGTAACTTAGACTTGAATATAATATACTGAAGTAGCAGTCACTGTTTGAAACTATTTAATTACTTGCCCGAAGGATGTAATTGATTTACATATAAAGAAAAAAAGTTTATTATAGAAATATGTTATAGTAGATACTTGTTTATCAAAATTGTACAATCTTAAGAAAGGTCCCTTGCTAGTTTGTTCACATGTACAAGAAAATTATGTCTGTAAGGCTGATATTGCTTCTCAGGGGTGCCCCAATAAATGTTTATTGTGATACTCAGAAGTGGACTAACAGCAGTATGAATGCCCTTCACACACACAAATCTCAACACTACATCTTTGACAAAACCAACATTAACTATTTTACAATGAATAGGAGTAGAACACATTCACCACATAAGTGCACATTTAGAAATGTGTGATTGATAAATAACAAAAACAAGCTTAAATATGCATTTATCAGCTTGTTCAATCCTGGTAGTTCAGCAGAATTTTCTGGGTCATAGATGTCCCATCATGATAGATGTTCAGCAGAATTTTCTGGGTCCTAGATGTCCCATTATGATAGATGTTCAGCAGAATTTTCTGGGTCATAGATGTCCCATTATGATAGATGTTCAGCAGAATTTTCTGGGTCATAGATGTCCCATTATGATAGATGTTCAGCAGAATTTTCTGGGTCATAGATGTCCCATAATGATAGAAGTTCAGCAGAATTTTCTGGGTCCTAGATGTCCCATTATGATAGATGTTCAGCAGAATTTTCTGGGTCATAGATGTCCCATCATGATAGATGTTCAGCAGAATTTTCTGGGTCATAGATGTTCCATTATGATAGATGTTCAGCAGTGCCAACCTTATAAGTCATGTTTCTGTCACAGTACTTTGCAGATATGAATTCAAGCACCTTAAGCAGCTGAATGAAAGCTCAGCAGAAGTAAAAGATACTGGCATTTTAAGCAGTACTTTTAAGATGATGTGAATGTTGGAGTACGTTGTAATAGTGTCTTCCAGAGTGTAACACAGATCACTCTATAATGCTACCACAGCTCAAGCTCTGAATCAGTACAATACAACTGGGTATCATGACATTATACTCCTCATTTGTGTTACTCCACATAACTGGGGTGAGCTTGTTGAGTAGCAGATTTCAGATTAGGCAATTAATTACATACTTGATCATTAAGCAATATGGCTAGGTGATCCATTAGTAGAATGAACGGGTATAAGTACCAGTATTCTTCTGGTGTTAAAGTGAGGATATTATCTGTAGTTCTGACCTCTAACTGTACAATGCATTGAGACATATTCCATTTTCTACAGCTAAGACATAGTTAGGCCTTCCTCTAGAAGTGTGTATAGGTGTATTGTTTTTTGTCACCAGGCAATGAAAGTAAATTGTTCATCTTTCGTGAGGTCATAAGTTGGATTTTTAAGGGAATAGCTGAAGTGCATGAGATACGGCAGTGATCCCTGGCAAACAACATGACACAACAAAAACTCAACTGGTTCCATGGCTTGGTTTAAGAAGGTAGCTGGGTGACTAGTCTTCTGATCTCCATCATTTTTCACATGTTCTATGGGATCATACAAAATTGGCAGTAGCATAGAGAGGCATGCATCATATTGACTCCATTGTGTATCAGAAGGCTTTGTGTAACATTGTGTATCAGAAGGCTTTGAGTAAAATTGTGTATCAGAAGGCTTTGTGTAACATTGTGTATCAGAAGGCTTTTTCAAACACTGCTTAGTTTTACTTTTAGCTAAAGAAAACTTCAAATCTTTGGGGAGAAAATCACAAAAGACAAAATTTCTTGAATGGTCTTAGCTTGTTACAAACTATTTGTATTCAATTTGAATGCATAATTATAAGGTTGAGTAAATGGTTTCTGCACATTCACTGTTTTCGGATGCAGCCCAGCCCACCACAGATTTGTCAATCATATTGGTTTGTTGCTGTAATAGCAATATGGTTAACTTCTTCAGTCAGTTCAATTTCACTGTCACTTCTCTAACACTCTGCAAACAAAGAGTGACTTGTGCTCTTCCTATAGGCATTAAATATACTTATTGTCTTATAACACACATTAGTAGGCCCTGCTACAACCACTAATCACAGTACCAGAATAACAAAATTTCCACTGCAATGTAACTCTTCTGGCGAGATTATATTTTCTTTAACGAGCTATATAGCTTAGTTAAATAGAACATATGTGGCATCTAGCAGAAGAATAATATAACTTCAACATATTGTTATGTCTCTGGTCGTTTGTTAATTTCCCGTAAAAATTCTTTTCGAGAAACTTCAGCGATACAAGTCCTTCCTTAATTAAAACTAGTTTATTCTTTCTCGTTACAAACTTTGTAATACACTTAATTTCCACAGTCACTTTAACTTAAACACATGCTATAATTAACAACAATTCACACACTTTTCTTACGGTCACTACCGCTCACTTGACTCAATTATTTGTCTCTATCTGCAATTCTCTATGCTGTCACTTCTTCTCTCTGCTTTATTTGCCGGGCTTATATATACCAAAATAGAGGGTGTCTGGCAAACACTCGAGCCTTCATGATCCTTCTAGAAACTCATCACGTGTTACCAGCGTCACTTGACTTCCGCTATCGTAACATTATCATTTTGATATTTATGTTTTACAACAGGTCTTTGATTATAACTATTTAACATTTGAGCACTTCTGTTGCTGCTTTTGAAATGTGTCAGTCTGTAGGTAAGTTCATATGGTGGTAATTATGTAAATAATGTCATCTTTATGATAAGTTATGAAATATGTAAAGGATTTAAAAATGTATTTTTTCCTGGGGTAAATTTTTTATATTAAAAAAAACAAGCATATATACTTATTTGGTCTGGAGAATAGTTTATGGAATGTTAACAGTGAAAACTTTTATATTTTAATAAAATATATTTATATTAGATGACTGATAAGGATGTGTAAATAGTGAGAAAACGTTTGTACTAAAATGGGTACAGGATGAGGTGATTTTATACAGAATACATAGATCAAATATGTGTTTGTATGTATGATTTACATAATTATTGTTATCTTTGTGAGAAGTGTTCCTCTACTTTCAGTTGTTATTTCAAGAAAAATGGGTCATTTGTCAACAAGTTGGACATCTAACTCTAAACATGATCAATTATGTGTGAGTCTGTGTGTTAGTATCCATCATCTGGAGTTTGCCGGCTAGATTACCACAATGTTTTGTATGGAAATTGTCCGACTGTGTACATGAGCTATTTTATTTTAGGATTTTTATGTCAGAAGAAGAATATAAAAAGAGCATGAAATAGGTCACATTTCCACTTTTTTATAATTTTGGCTTTCATTAGCCACAGTCGGTTGGCTCGATTACTGTAATTGTTTCTATGGTAACTTGTGACTGTCTGGTGATGTACATGAGCTGCTTTGTTTTACGATTTCTACCCAAGAACGGGTATAAAAAAAACACCCAAATACAGGACACATTTCCACTTTCTCATAGACTTTTGGCTTTGAATACAAAGATACAAGTACGTAATCAGTGAAATGAATTTTATTTTTACTTTTCACAAAGCATATGCAATTAGTATTTACTGAGGTCATTAAGGATTTTTATAACAAAAGAAAGAAGGAAGTGGAACATTACCTAACATTGTCCTTTATACAGTTTTTTCTTATAGTGTGGTATCTTAATTTGTCACCTAAATATATAAGTAAAGTATCATTGTCAAGAATTTTTAAACTATTTCTTGATAGCTTAATTTCTTAAAATGTGTTCAAAAGTAATTTTAATAAATCATTTGCTCCAGGGAATATTAATATCATAAATTGAAATAAAAACATTATTTAGATGCTTATCTTGGGTTTCTCACATTTCTTTTTTAAGATGAAGGTTTTTTTTTGACCAAAATCCTTTAACTTCAGTGTTTGTCACTAAGTGATACAACTCTTATCATCCTGCTCAACTTTAGTGGCTTCCACTTAGAATTGTTTTCTTTCCTTGTTTACTTGTTGAATTTTACCTCATTATTTTAAACATTTTGTTTGAGGCTGTCCTACCTCTGAAAAACTTACTGTTGTATTACCAGTTTTAAGAGAAATCCTTTTATATTTGACTTTTAGTTTTATTAACTGTTGATTTTTATTCTTGTTAGTTCGACATCATCTTATAGTTTTTTTTGTTTCTGCTGTGTTTGTTAGTTTTATTTCACATTATTAAATGGTAATTAATTTAAAATGTGAATTTTTTTAATGTATATAAACTTAAAACTAAGATAAAATGGTGATAAAACTAATTCACAATTTTTTGCTTTTACTAAAGTTATTTGAATATGATGCCTGTTTTTGATTTTAATAATCGGAAAAGAGAACAGTACAATTACACAAAATTAGTACTGAGGAATGTGCTGTATACTGTATCAGTAGTGTTTGTCTGATTCAAGATCAAGGCCTCATTAAATTTAGTTATTAATTTTAAGACTTACCAAGAATATTAATGTTAACTATTATTATTTACTTGTAACTCACTAATATAATTGAAGTACAACAGGAAGATATTTCCTACAATAAATGTGGAGTTAATATGCATACTGTCAAGAAGCAGTGTCAAAATTAATTGTTCCTCTTGTAGATACTCTTTGAATTGTGTTAAGCAAGGATTTGTGCAACATTTATTCATGAGTAAATACAGAGTGGAACAGTTTGTTATTTGAATGATATAAAAAGACTACTGTTCTTTTCATGCAATTATTTTGTTTAAAGCCAAACTTTGTGTTTCTTTATGTTTCAATAACTGCTTGACATTTCATACTGAAGATTTTTCTTTTAATTTGATAGAATTATCTTGTGTAAAGTGAAATGAGCCATGAAGGAAATTACTGCTTAACAGTAGAATTAATACAAATAACTGAAGTTTGTAAATATTAAATTTCCAATAAAAACAATGTTTCAACATATTATGTCACAGGCCAGTATGTGTTTCAAATTATTAAACATTTGTATTTCTGTTTACATATTTCCTTAATAATTTTTTTTTAAGAAATGGTACAGAATGCTAATATTTTTTTTAATCACCAAAATTGTGCATTTTAGGGAAAAAAAGAATAATACAGACTTGTCCATTCGTAGATTCATCACATGTCAGTCGTCTGGATCTAGTTGTTTAGTAAATACATATGAGACCTACAGAATGGTAGTGTTTCAATATACACTGAGTGGTCACAGGTAAATAGACACCTAATTTTTCGTCATTTAACTGATTTATGCTAACTAATTTGTGTTCACAAGCACTATATAAATGAAAATGGTCCACACACTAATTATCTTGCCTAGAACTAAAGGTTCTCTCGAATTGTCAGATATTGTTAAAGGAAGGATAGTTGGTCAAGCAGATGGTGAAATAAGTCAGCGGCAAATTTCACAGAATTTGGGAATCCCGCTTTCTTCGACAGTCAACAGAATCATCGTGCAGTTCAGGAAACACGGCAAGGAAACAACTGAGCAGCATCTGGGTCGTCCTGGTCCGTCGGAGAGGACAAAAAGGGCTGTCAAGAGGAGCATCAAAATGGGTCCAAGATTAACGACTGCAGAAGTGGCCAAAGTTGGTGGGATGAGCCCGAAATCTGTTCAACGGATTCTCCACAGATTGGGTTATCGTTGCAGAGCAGCTAGATGGAAGCCCTTATTAAGACCTGCCAACATAGTCAGATGAAAGAAGTGGGCAAGTGATATGATGACCAAGCCTCTGGACTTTTGTAAGACTATATTGTTCTCAGACGAATCAAGATTCGCTCAATTTTCGGACAGTGGAAGGATATGGGTCTGGAGAATGCCTCACCAAGAGTTTTGGCTCAACAGATTGCAGCCAACTGTGACGCATGGTGGTTTCAGCGTGATGGTTTGGGCTGTTTGAGTTGGTGGGAGATCGAGCTTAGTGGAGTGAGTTGGCAACATAAATGTTGCGAAATACGTCGAAATATTGGAGGAAGAACTCTTGCCACTTTATTCCTTGGGTTTCGTGGACAAGAACATAACGTTGTTCCAGGAAGATGGAGCACCGTGTCACACCCAAAAGTGGCAGGAAGAAAATGGTA